GACTCAGAAAGAAGACATTTTTATAAAGAGGGTTGTATCAGCTTGAGTAATGGGAAATGACAAATAGTCGTGGGAGGATGTAGGCGGGTAAGTCGGCAGATGGTCGGGGGGGGGGGCAGACGGGAACACAGGGAGACAGGGAGACTTGGGAAACGGGAACACAGGGAGACAGGGGATATGTGGGGACTTCAGGGGTACGCTTGTAGCTTCCTCTTTGAGAGATGCAGATAGAAACAGAAAATGGGAGGGATAGATGGAAGACTGAATGTGGGAGGGGTTGGTGGAAGACAGAAAATGGGAAGGGTATATGAAAAACAGATGGGATGTAGAGAGGGAAGGGGGGGTAGGGGTAGATGTGAGACCGAGGGTGAGAGAGATGGATCGAAGGAAGAAAGCGGGAGGGGGGGGATAGATGGAAGATAGAAAGTGGGAGAGGTAGATCGAAGGAAGAAAGTGGGAGGGATAAATGGAAAGAAGAAAGTAAAGGGATGGATCGGAGACAACATTAGAATGAAGAGATTGATGGAAGACAAAAAATGGAAGAGATTGGTGGAAGACAGAAAATGGAAGAGAGTTGGGATTTATAGCGGAGGGATAGATGTAAGACAGATAGATCAAAGAAAGAAAAAGGGAGGGATAGATCGAACACAGAATTTGAGAGAGACAGATGGAAGGCCGGAGGAATAGATGTTGGACCATAGTTTGCACGTCGTTAATAGAGGTGGGCAAAATCCGGATAATCCAAAAGGATAACCGGATAATTCTCAATGAAACATTATCCGATTTCAGACTCTTAACTCTCTTTCCTGACCCGTTTGCCGAAGTGGGTGCACCCATTTGTTGAAGTGATGATTACCCGTTTGTCAAAGTGGTTCTAACCCATTTGCCGATGCGGTTCATATCATATTATTCGCCGAAAAGGTGCACTTAAATATTATCCGGATTTTGCTGAAGCGACTCATTGCCCAGCCCTAGTTGTTAGGAGGCCGCCACTGGCAGGTCTTACTTCTATTGTTCTCTCCCTCTGTTGTTCCTGTCCGTCTGTCTGCCTTGCTTTCCCCCCACCGCTAACTAACCGCTATTGTGTCGATGTACTTTTCTTTCCTCAAACTCAAGACAATTGGTGGTTGACGGGTGCTCTGGTGTGGTTTGCTTCTTCTTTCCTGTCAAACATCTATCGTCCTTATCTCACCCTT